TATGGATCGTGCTGAGTGTGGTGGCCGTCTCTCATGCAGTTCTCGTCCAACAACGCTGGAGTGCTGGACGGCCCACCGTAACCATACGTCCCCTTCATGAGCTGCTTCGCATGGACATTACAGTGTCCCCCCATTGGCACATCCGGCCAGGGCAGTACGTATACCTCTGGTTGCCTCACGCGGGATTTCGCTCGTGCTTCCAACTCCAGCCCTCCTATGTCGCTTACTGGGATGATGCGCCCGGACCGCGCATCCTGTATGTTCTGACCCGACCACGAGCCTCCAGCCTCAGTACACGACTCTACCTCCGCGAATGGCTACACCAGCGTCGACAGCCCGCACTCTTGCTGGGGCCATATGTATCCAGCTCTCGCCAGAACGGTGCCCCTTCAATAGACTCATCGGCGAATTGAAGATTCATGGACGAGCGTCGGTGCTTCGCTAGTTGCAACACGCGAGCTCATGTAGGCGGACATAATGGTTTTTGCTAGGCGGTCGGGTGACGACCACACTCTCCTAAAAGGACCTATATATTGATTCATGTTTTTCTGGATAAGATCTGATGTATATTCGCCGTTGATTCAAGCCATCATAAGACAGATTGATTAGGGTGACTTTCCCGGTTAAGTTGGTGAACCACCCTTGGCTCTAATTCAATGTGACGACAGTACATTGGCAGTACATTAAGATATCCTTGACGAACCCCTTTCCAGGCTAACGTCCTAGATATTTCTTGATGCAATGTGTCCTGCCACTGCTGCTATTGGTGCCCGCATTGTCGCTCGGTGGCTGAACGGCGCAGCTATCTCTGGTCATGCTCTCGATCCTGCAGTGTTGCCGTTGCCTGAACAAAAACCAGGACACTGTCCTAACTCCGGATTATATACTTCAGCCCATCGTCTCGTGTAATAATGTAGATGTCATGGTGACTTTGAGCGTCGTGTTTGATGTGCTCTTACTCTTTTCTCTCCCGGTGCGCATACCCTGAACGGCATAGCCAAAGCGACTCGATCAACTGACTACGCAAGAGGTCTATCAGGACCCTTTCTTCATGGTCGGAAGAGTTCCAACTGATTGTTCTCTTGAGCGGTGGCATCTTCCTTATGGCCAATGATATTCGGTGTTGTGTCGATCGTGACCCTACGTCCCTACGACTGACTGTCAATCCCGGAACTCCCTCACTGAGCCAATTTCTGACCATGATGGGCCGGGGCGGATGACGCTTCCCAGGCTGGTAGCTGGGCCTGGCCGTGGAACCTTCGTCGCAGTTATATTGGCAATTCCCCGATGTTCGACTCGCTGTTCCGCCGCATAGCCAGACACGCTGGCTGGTACACGGGCAAACCGACGACCGGCAAAGGTCAGTACTGGCAGAGCTATCTCTCTTCGATGGCGCTCGGTCAACCATGTACAGGAAGCGTCGGGGCACCATGGTGATAGTGGCGCGGGAGGAAGCCTGGCTCGTCAGGTAACCGGTCGGTGGGCAACCGATTTTGCTACCGACGAGAGTGCGGTTAAGCTACACACGCCACCAGGGATTTCCAAGCTTTAGCCTAGGGGCCCTCGGAAGTTGATGGCTCCCACGACTGAAAAGCTTGTTCCTAGGATAGTGATGATTGCTCCGAGGAATAACTACCACTTTCCTACGACGTTCCACATTCGCATGATTGTTCTCCGTCTTCGGAGGTCATCGTATAGCCATGAGGGGACTATGCAGCTCTTTGAATAGCGTTTCGCAGCGCACATCACTCTGCAGATATCGAAGTGAAAAGAATCTTTCACCAATATCAGACTTATATCTAGGCCAGGCGCCGTCCCGGACTGTTCGCACAAACTGCCACTTTCCTACAGTCTCGCGGATCTGTCCGTATCTTCTTCCTGGACACACCTTTACAAACCGGCCATGGCTGGCTATTATTGAGTTCCCATGTATTACGATCCCTTCCATCGTGAAAGATGCATTGGGCTGTCAGACAACGGGCATCCCTGCCCACACGACGTCGATCTACAGTGGCGTGTGTTCGCACACACAGAGGTGCAACTACTTCAGGACATTACGCATTTGACTACCAGAAAATCTCGCCTCAAAAGTGTGACAAAACATTTGCTGTGTGACTGCCACCGCCGTACCCTGGTGCGCTCGACGAGGCATAGGTGTGTATCAGATCCTCCACTGCTTACAGCGATGGTCACAAATAATAGTTTCAGACATGTATCACCAATGGTGCAAAAGCAGAGCCAATTTATGGTTCAGGAAGCGCCCTCTCACCCTCTTCCTCGACTAGTTGGAGGAATCAGTCAGGAGTCAATTGGAGGCCCAGTACTGCAACGAACAGAGTTACCTTCAACCTTGCGGGACTAATTTTTTGTTGGCATAGGAACAACAACCTATGCTAAACTTATATCATGTATTTTCGCTCCTGGCCTCTTTGTATTCAAGAATATGTCATTTGTCATGCTGCGCATGCCCTGCCCTCATCTTCGTATACAATGACGGAAAGCTCGCTTGTAGGATGTAGTCCACTTGCCCAACACAATCGTGATTGGTTCTTTCCAAGAGCCTCCTCGTCGCCTCAAGCAGAAGGAGTTGGTGACGTCGGTCTTCAGGCATCCTGTTACATCCCATGCGCGCAGCCAGATTGCCTTGGAGACGGCGGGTGCGTGCCTTCCATCCGCTGAAAAGCCGGTTGATCCGCATTTGACACTGCTCGATCTCCATTCCACATTGCGGATCACCCAGCCATACGGTTGCAAACTCTCGGGCCGAGTGGAGTTGGTGTAAAAGACGACGATGGTCCTGTAGCTGGCGGTGCACGGCTGCATGACGGATACCCTCAATGTCCGCTCGCAACTGATTGACGGCCTTCTTTGGAAATTCCGAAGACCCAGATGTGGGTTGGGTACGGCGTTTTCGGTCGAGCGCTCTAAACGCCATGTGCAATTCCACCTTCTCGGCACAATCCCATCCGTTTGACTGGCCGAGCTGGGGGTGCCACTTCTGGATAGACTCGAACGCAGAGCGCTCCAAGCGCTGTTGCAGTACCCGTAGAACGCGGTGTTGAGCGGGGAACGGCAGACTCGTAAGTCGTGGCTGAGTCAATGATTTCCGCGTCGCTGGCTCCACCGGTAGGCTTTGGACCTCATCACCCATTTTGGCGTATACGAAGGTCGTCAGCTGGTTTCTGAAGAGGAAGACGGGTGGAAGACAGATATGGAAGATGCTTTGGATGGGAGAATGGCGATTTTGGGTAGCTGATGAATAGCAGATAGGATTATCCCGCGCACTGCTAATACATATGGTTCGACTTTAATGACCTACGCACCAGATATTATTGAGGGTGGTGGGCAAGGAATCCAGCGATTATTTTGTTCTCTTCCCTTCAATATATATGGGGAAGCCACGGATCAAGAACGGGGTGACATGGCCTAGACGACGGCTCTTGTGTTTCAGGAACCATCAATATTGCCCACCAAGTTCCCAACTTTCCCCGGATGGTTTCGTACCTGACCGGCAAGAAATGGAGTTTGTAAGTCAATCACGCAGTTTTGTCCACCCGTGCGACTGCATTTCCATGACCGTGTTTGTATGTTTAACATGATCGTGAGGCAAAGGTCGGTCAATCATTTGCCCGCTGGGGGATATTGTCCACACCGTATGGCTGGGCTTCGGACCAGATGGTCTTCGACCTACTGCGACTCCTATGGTACCAAGACAGTGCTACGTTCCAATAGGATGTGTGATCCGATGAGTTGCTCCACCGTCTTATTCTATAGTATTTTATCGGCATTCCAGACAGATGCCATGCAGTCCAATCTCCCATCGCTGGCGACCTCATTCCGGAACCAGCTACGCAGGACTCCCGCTCCCCGCCAGCAAATCAACCTCAGCTGCGATCCCGCGGCTTCGAACAAACTTAGGCCACGTGTTGGTGAGAACGAGGTCTTTGATGCTCTCCTCGGCTCGGTCAAAGACCGTCGCATTAAATGTCTGGGGAACCTCACCCCAGTATTGCACCCGACTGTTGTCGGTGAATAACGAACCGGAGTCGGCCTTTATGGGGGCGATCGGAGACGCTGAGGGCGTGGGAGCATAGCCTGGCGCATCAAAGGGAACGGCAGGATTGGCCGGGCGTGCGTCTCCGAAGAGAAGCCCAGCAGGGCTCTCGAAGACGTTCTCCAGCTCCCTCCGTTCCCGCGACGAGATGTTGATCGGAAAGTCCGCAAGGCGTTCACTGATGAATGTCGTGTAAATACACAGCGCGCGGTGAAACTGCTCCCGAATCAAGTCGGTAAGATCTCCATAGTCTGAGACCCTGCTATCCCAGACCGCATGGGGCAGCGAGCTCTTCCATTCTGCCACTCGGGTCAAAAAAGCTATATTCTCTCCGGAAAAGTCGCGATGGGCGGAGAAATCCTGCAACGGGGCAGGATTGCGCGCCAAGACACATTCAAGCGCACGCTTGGTGAATATGCTATCCCGAGAGCTGGAGCTGGAGCCAAGAGATCTACTCCATGATTCCCGGCCAGACCCTGTGAGCTCGACAAGAATGGAGGCTGACCTGCGGGCCATGGTGCCATCAGCAAAGGGATTGGTATTAGGTTCCCACCGTGCGATCGAATCGAAGGCCCCTTGTCGGATAGCGTGATGGCGCATTACCTCTCGGCACGGCAGGAGAACAGCAAAAACCTCCATCACCCAGATAGAGAGGCAGATCCTACAGACGTCAGCCACGTTTTCTTGCTTCTTTTCTTCTTCATTTCTATTTTCCTGTTGGTGACAGCTCGGAGCACCTACCACTGGGGCGGTAACCAGTACTGACTGACCGGCTCCATGGCGGGAACATAGAGGGCGATGAGCCACATCGGCGTCGCAGGGAGACTACATGACGGGTTAGCCGTTCCACAGGCCTCATCGGTCCGATTGGCTCACTTGGCGATGATGCAGCCCATCGTCTGGACTCGCCAGCCGTGGGTGTCGTGGATGTGACGGGATTTCCAAAGAACGACGGGGCCCACAATCCACGACCAGAAAACCTGCCCAAACACGCTAGGCCACCTGCATATCGGTTAGCGCGCAACCCTTGTCGCATATGCGCCGGGCGTATGTCGGAGGCCTTCTTACCACTCCCAGCCCCGGCCCATTTCCGACGTTTGCTGCATCTCGGTCCCATGGACCTCGGTGCCTGGAATCCCCCAAGTGCGGTGCCATTTGCGAGAGATAAGCCACATCAAGACCGTGAGGAACACCTATTGATTGGATTAGACACTGATGCGGTGACAGTAGGGGTAGGCGGTGGCCGTTTTACCTGAACGAGCGACGCGATCGTAACAAGCACGAGGATCTTGGTGGTGTAGGCAAGGCGACGGAACCGGTCTACGACACCGAGCTTGCCCCTCGAGGTGGAGGACAAATGAATGCCACCACTACTACGAATAATATAGCCCTCCTGAAGCTTCGCCACATGGTAGAAGCGACTGTTCGATGCGTGGAACAGGGCAATGCCACAGGGCAGATAGGTGCCCATGATCCAGTACTCGGTATCTCCGGGCATGATGGTGCCAATCATGGTTCCAAATTGCACTGAAGTCCAATAGACATGAAGCACAACAACGGCGGACAGCGTAAGTCCGAGGCCTCGCAGCAGAAGTGGAGGCGTGTTGCGATGGGCGATGAGATAGGCCATGCCAGACGTAACAACAACCGTCCAGGTACCCGCCCAGCAGGCCCACCATATACTGACCACAGTATAGGCTGGCTGGGGCGTGGATGCGGCAGTGACCCCAAGTTCGGATCCCATGGTTCTGTTGTCGTGGGGAGAAACTAATGCAAAAGATTTCAATGCAATGGTAGACGGACCTAACGAGGGAATTTAATTTTGGCGAACACTGTCGCTCGACGTCGTCAGTCCTGTTCCCGTAGAGGAGAGAGTTGTCAGCCAACATTGGCACTGGGCTAGTCTGCCTTTTGAGCTGCTCGAGATTTCAGGGTCGCATCTCTTACGGACAAGACGGCTCTCCAACCTACAGCCGGGCCGCCGTCCGACTCACATGTAACCTCCATCTCTCCTATAGTGCCTTGAACTCCCATGCTACAGTAGCAGCGGCCCAGGGGACGGCAGCTTTGCGCTTTCGACAATGGTTCTTGGCGACCCCCATCGCAGTGTGTTCGCATGGTAGGTTCCGTCCGGTGTCGCAACCGACCGGTCTTGACGGTTGTCTCCAACCGCCAGATGCTGCTGATCGTCCGCCATCGGTTCTCCACGGTGAGTTGTCCAGCAATGAAAGGCCATATCCACTTTATTGAGTATCCCCTATCCCTCTGGTAGTCAAGTAGGTTTGCCACCGGTATAGGCCCACCAGGGCACCGACGGACTCTCATGCGGCTGGCCAGGGAGATCATCCAGGAACATTACATACATTAGGGAGTTAGATCTTCCGCTCCTTGTTCCTTTGTTCTTTTTCCCCTCTTACAGAATTGGATGCGCTTACCCAGTTGCAATGCACGGGGCTGATCAGCGAAAAGGCAATTGTACAGCGGCAATAGGAAGGCTTTCTGGCGAGTTGGCCGCAGAACATAACGGGGAGACCACTTAATATTCAAGTGAATTTCCCAGCCCTCCATTGAAAATCCCTCACAATGTCAGATTCAAATATTGCCAATTTCTCTCGTTCCTAAAGAATGTGGAAACCAGTATTTTTACCTATCGCAATACCTTATCTTCTGCATCTCTTCTCTCGGCTAATGTGAAAGATCTTTATTATGGTTCACGGATTTCAAAGAATCTGCAATGAAGAGCATAATCGGTTCGTAAACTATAACAATACAATTTCGTACTTGCTACCATAGTCTCTTAGTGATCCTACATTATTCATGATCCCTCATCTATCGTCCCTTCGCCTTGACGCTCGTAAGCATCGCTTTCCGCAAGGCAATGTCACTTCCGGTCAACGCAGCGGCATGAACAGCGGTAGCTTATACGCCTAAATCCTTCCGGACTGTTGGAAACTAGAGGGAGAGCACACCTGGCAGGTTTGAAACATATCATCCGAAGCGCCTGGTGCTCCAGCTCCACCACAACCCGGACATAAGCTATGGAAACACGGAGCGGGGGCCACGTCCAGTGCCTTGGTTCCACACCGGTCACATTGGGGTGCCTCCATATTTTCCAGTGGCTCTCTCAGAGGTCTATCCCGCTCAGTGTCGACCACCCGTCTAGCTCGGGCCAGGGCGTTGGATTGAAGTCGACATAGCTGTCGTAAGTTGTAGAGTTCTTGAAGTGTCTGCGGCAGAACCCACATCGACCCTGCATGGGTCTGTGACCACAATGCCTGCTCGAGCCTCTGAGATTCATGTTGCGCCTTCTCAAGGGCTCGGTAAAATCGTGCTCTGGTCACACACGAACGAGGGTAAGTTTTCATTCTTCTGGACGGTGACCTCGAACCTGCAGCTAAGTATGTCAGTTCCCCCAGATCATCGTTGTGTGAGGGGATAAACCTTTCATCTCAGCCGGAGGCACAACGCCCGTTAGCGTATTCTTCTGCATCAGTAGGTGCAGGATGTGGTTTGGAGTGGTAGAGCTAGATATATTTGAAAAGACTGGGGAAGGAAAGATGGGAATGGTCGAGGTACAGCTTAGCAATCGTGGGAGTACATACTTCCACCCAATATATATTGAGTTGAAGCCTGTGAAACGGTAGCACCACCACGGGCTAGATATTTGGACTTGCAACCGTCCTGGCAATCTCGCGGATTACGGACCGTTGATGTGAATGGACCTTGCGGATGTCGGGAAGTACTTCTTCGGCTAACCCGGTTCGTTATTCAATCGTTGGCTCGGAGGATGTCACTTACTAAACGTTTTTGGGCCACAAGATAAAGAAACCCGGTTTGTACAAGCGGCATTTCATTGAATGGGGCCATCTCCATGGTCGCTGTGCCCTCTTTATCTCATATGACGCTAAAGGTAAATAGACGGAAAGTCTGTTCATCCGGAGTGGCAAAGAAGCCCACACTTGAGGCGCGGCTGGACCTTCGAAGGTTACCATTACTCCTGAGAACAGTGTCAGAACAGCAAGAGGCTCTGGGTGGCCCCCCGTAGATCTTTGGCCAGTCACAGTCACAGTCGATCGACATCCCTCCTACTCTCCGTCACCGACGGCAGTTGACCATGCCGAGCGGCGAGCATTACCCAATCTCACCCGATTAATATAAAGATACCCCATCACTCATGGAGGGTCTTTTCCATTCCAGATTGGCACAGTCGAATGGAGAGCGATGATATGATGCCAAGTGCTGGCCAGCGTCCTACAGACCCGGATATCCTTGTCGTGGAGGCGTGGGGACAAGGATTCCTGGTGGGCTCCCTTGTTGTCATGATTGCCATCACCGCGGCCAACATGAAAAAAGGGGTGCTCTTGCACAAACTCATCGTGGCAGAGGTAAGTTGTGCTGCCTGGTTACGGCGAATGGGGCACTATCCCCTGCTGATGTGGACGCTTAGCTCGCCCTGGCCCTCGGGCATGGAACGTTCATCTGTCTCCATGCACCTGCATATGGCTGGTTTCTCTCGGTCACGGCCGTGGGTCTCACAATTTCGCATTCCCTCCACAACGTGATTGCATGGATGAAGATTCGCGGCTTTTTCCCACCCTGGGGCACGCGACTGTATCTGATCACCCTGCTGGCGGCCCAGCC